TTTAATCGACAGCTACTGGCTGTCGAATATAACTGGACAAAATTTGAGAAATTCTGTCGATTATCAATATAATCGACAGTAAATTTCTGTCGATTAAACTTATTTAATCGACAGAAAAATTGGCTGTCGAATATACTGATTATCGACTGCAGTATCTTCGACAAAAAAAGTTGTCGAATATGTCTGTCGATTATAGTTTAATCGACAGAATTTCACTCATATTCGACAGAATCCGCTGTCGAATATACTGCTTTTTCCAGTAGTGACTTGATGCTGGCCATCTTTGCTAAACAAGAGAAGATGGCTCGTGACACGTGGCCTCTCACACATAAAACAGGTGCAAGCTAGAAGGACCCTCCTCATTTGCTAGTAAGGAGTGCATCTTAATCAGCTTCCATGACATTAGCACTGCTGACTTATTGAGCCCCCACCCCCCGCAATTTGAAAACAAAAATCAAGGGACAATCTCTTGTAATGGGAGTGAGTCTTCTAATAAGAAACTCAATCCAACATGAAGACTTCTTTTGATAACGTTTCTTGATTTTTCACTTCTTATTTTTATATTTTTTATTATTTTAAAAATATATAAAATATATCTAATATATTTAATAATTAATGTAATTAATATTTTATATACTTTTAAGATATTAAACGATAAAAAAAAACTTATAAATATAGTTACATGTTATTACTGTTAAACTAAACCTAAAAGTATGCGTGTTTGGTTAGGCTTGCCTTCTCCTCAAACCTAACAAGAAATTTCGAAAATGATAGAAAATGATAGGTTAGGTGTGAATTCGTTTGAGCCTAAAGCAAAGTAGAAAAGAGTGTTCCAAAATTATGGGGAATGTGATGTTACTTCTTTTAACTAAAGTGAAATTTATTAACATAAAAAGGTCATATTTATGTGTTTTTTTAAGCATGCCTATTTTTATGTATTTTTTATAATATATAAATAATAATTTAAATTTTTTAATAAATTATTCTTTTTAACTAGTATTATTTTATGGGGAATGTGATGTTACTTCTTTTAACTAAAGTGAAATTTATTAACATAAAAAGGTCATATTTATGTGTTTTTTTAAGCATGCCTATTTTT